CTGTGAGTTTCTAAGAAAGTCAAATTTTAGGTTCTTAATTCTTTTCCCTAAAATCTTTAAGTCATTTGCTAACTGGTCAAGCAGCTCTATAGTCTTTCAAACTCTCATAGCACCTAGTGATCAGGCATTTTACCAGTGAACTAGATGGTCTGGTACACCAGTATATGAATCCTGCCTTCACAAGGGCTGCAAGACGACAAGCTTCCCTTGCCAGGTAGCTGCAGCAGAATGTGACAGTGACAGCAGGGTTAGAGATGATTAGAGATGCAACATCACCTGATTTCCAACCTGATCAGCAACACAAATCAGAGGGCTGAAGCAGATCTGATCAATAGCTGGAGAACCAGAAATGCCATAGGTAACAGATAGTATCAGTAATCAATATTTCAGCCACAGAAATAACAAAGCAAAATAAAGGGCTAAACACTGCCACCTTAAACAGGCACTGTATAAGGGCAAATATGTTATACGTACTGAAAGTGGTTTTTTTTTCTGCCCTCAAAAATATTGCTTCTTCATTTTAAAATGTTCCACAGAGCAACAAATCACCTCTTCAGTATTCACCCAAAAAGACTGAAAGCAGTATTATCCTTATGTTATAAATACAGAAACTGACAAAAATATCTAAGGAGTCTACAAAAAGGAAAACAGTATATTTTGTCCAGTAGCATTGCAAAAGTCTGCTTTGATAATCCTAACATAAAACCAGAAAAAACTTAACTTCTTGATAGTGCTACACATTTGAAGCACCTTCATTTTATCTATCAAATTAACTAAGCTACAAGATAAGAAACTGTAGCCCTTATGTTACAATAATTTGGAAACTGATCTTCAACACTTACTAATGGCAAAGTTCATTTTTAATTCCACTTTGCATTCAGTTGCCCTAATAAACAGCTATTTCACCATTATTCATTATTATATTTAAGATTTTTTATGATCTACTTTTGCTATTTTAAGTCTGTATTAGAATTGCTTTTCTGTTTCTTTAAACATGGCTTTTGCTTAAAGCAAACCATAGCAACTGCAAAGAAGTTACCTGCACCCCCTAAGCTCAGAGTGAACTGCTCAAGCATTACTAATTTTGAGGTGGGAGGAGTTGAAGAAATGAGGTCTTTTTATATAAAAAGCTTAAATGACTCATGAAAATTCTTTTGGCATAGCTTATACATGCTTGACAACAACAACATATATAGCACCTTCCGTCACTCAAGTGCTGTACAAACTAGTTAAGAGTTCAACTATTAAAATCCAAACCCCATCTTTATGACCAGCAAAATCAACCTCATTTTCACAGGACAAGGAGCAGAACTTAAGAAAAACATTGGGCATAACATGGTATTTCTGAGAGTAGGGAAGTGGTTATTACCAAGTAAAAGTTTTCTTCTCAGCTCTATAAAGTACCTGACACTCGACATTCAATAAATTAGTATTTAAAAAGTATAAGTTACCTGGCATAACAGTCCAGCAAATTTCCAACTGGCCAAAATGTCTGTAAGGGAACAGGTCAACACAATCACATCCACTTACGGTTTCTGACCTTGGCCAAATTTCCAGGCTAGTCACCAGTAACAGTACTCTATCCCAGAAGAAAAACCTGAAGATTTTCTTCAGCACTGAAAGGGAAGAGCCCCATACTAACCACAAGTGATTGAACTGAAGCTAATAATCTGCTGAAAAGGTCTACTAAAGAGGAACCAAGACCAACAGGCATCTCTGGATCTGAATGTCTGGTCTACCTATCAGTAACTGCGCTTGGTAATCATTTTCATAGGCTAATCAAATTACAATTGTTTTTTGCTGTCCAGCACTCTTTTTAGGGTATTCCAGAATCTAGCTCCACTAGTGATCTGGCATTTATTTTCACACTACTTTTAGCTAGATCCAGCTTAATATATATTACTTTTGCCACCTACAGATCTTCCTTTCCGTCAGTCCTGCTTCCAGCTCTCAAACCCCTGCATCATTCTCTGTCAGCTAAACATTCCTCGTTATCTGGTTAGCACAGCTAGAGATTTATACTGCATTGACTGCCATGGTCCTGGCCTCTTGACTTAATATGAAAGAATTAATTTAATAGGGAAGCTAAGGCTGGATTACAACCAAACGTAACAATATTGCTCTTCCTCACGCTCAGATGTTGAAAAAGGAAGTCCAACAGAAGTAAGATGTATGTAAGCAATGTGCCACATAGTGGTGTATCCAAAAAAATATAAAGTATTACAGACAGCTGAAACAGCTTGACATGCGTCCTGAGAGATGCCAAACACCTGGCTCCACTGCTTTTCCCTGCAATCATTGCAACTTAAAATCAAGAAAGGAAATTCAGAAACTTTCTCAAAGTGCTGCTGGCCTTCCATACTGAAGACAAAGCACCCACAAAGAAAGAGCATTTATCCATCAGATGACACACGAGTGGCTTTCCTTAATTAGAGACTAGCTAACATTAGAATTGGCAAGTGAACAGAAGGCTCCATACATTGCTACTGCTTCCACCTACAACCTTTATCTCAGTTCCTCTGCACCCTTTACCAACTACCTACCCCACAGTATTCCCTTTGTCTTCTTCTCCCACTCAATTTTCTACCTGAAACAACTCTCCTCCTTTTACGTGCCAGGTAGAATTCTCTCAATTTCTTTCAATACTTCCTTACACTATTCCCTCCAGCTTCTTTGTTCCACTCAGCTCTGTTGTGGGGCTTCCATTGCTATTATCCATGCTGCACAACAAGGGCATTGCTTCAGACATCAGACACCTTGTCATTCAAGAAGACAAGTGTGGGCTTGAAGACCTTCTGTAAAGCACGCCTGATGGGGCAACCTGAGATCTCAGACCCTACAGTGAATAGCTGCTCCCTTTTAGCTGTTCATCCAGCAGTGGTAACTAATTCTTCGATCCAAAATAAAAGCCTGAAGGGGGATACGCTCACGTAAAGGATAGTAATGAGTTCAGAAGTCTCTGTGCTCTGGGTTGGAATCACCTGTCAGATAGATCAAGACCAGGAAAATAGCCATTCTTTCACATTGAAGGCAGCAACATTCTGGGTAATCAAAGAGCAGCCTTGACAGGGATAAGAGTTAATTATGAAATATATCTCAAGATAGGGCTGGCAATTAGCATTTAGTCTGCCACATACAGCACTCTAGAAGTACACACCCGGAGCTGTCAGGATGCGCCCTTCTACAGGTGCACATACCATTCAACGCAGGGCCTTCCAGCCTGTACGAATCACCTAGCAGCTACTGAAAAATCTCTCTGTTCAGCTTAACATCCTAGAAGAAAAAGTTTTTAAATATTCTTACTCTAATTTACTCCCACATACAGGATCTGCCTAAACACACAGAAATCTATCGTAAGCATGGAGCTCTTCAGCTACATCAGGTGTGCAGACACTCCAGGACCTTCACAGAAACTTGACCAACCTGAGAGCTTTTTACTTTACTGCTTTGCTTTCAAAGCAAGTGCCATACTTAATGCTTCTGAGGCATTTTAATTTTCCAAAGCATTATACAAACACCAGATGATTAGAGACAGCTAACAAGAATATCCCAAGATACTGAATCGCAGTGTGTAGCAAGGATTTTTATTTTTTTTCCTCCTGAAATAGGGAAATTAAGAATTGAAAGATGCCTAAGAGCGTGCTCTCTGAACTGTGGAATGGTATCTTCAAGCAAAAGGCATTACATTTGAGAGTGCCATACCGCCAGTGTTTAGGAAAGACTCAGCTCAGCCTGGACAAATAGGAATGGATCTGGTTGACTGGTAACTGCTGAGAAGATATCACATACACTGTCAAATGTAATTTCTATTCACAATAGACATCCACATTGTACAAGCTTTTCTCCTGAAACGGCACTACACTGCAGCCATACCTCTAGGGGCTCTGTTCTGAAGAAAACCACCAAAAAGAAATCACTAATCCCTTAATTAGGGGCACCCACTTCACCTTCTACAGGAATAATTTAGAAAGTCTGAATGGGCCACATGTCACACAAGGCGAAAATTTAATAACTCAAAGTGTCTGAGGTTGTTGGTTCATTTCTCTGTATCTACACTCTGCTGTGCAAAGCTACTGAAGGGAAGTACTCAGTGTTAATTGAGAACAGCTTCACAAACCACTCATCACCGCCTTCTGTAAAAGTCATATTTCTGATGGGAGTTGCATTACACCAGCCAAGTCACTGATCCTAGGTCTCAAGCACAGCTCCAAGAATACACAATTAGGGCCACATTCCCTTGAATTTTCATAAACCTCTTGTTTAAGCCACAACACTTAGGGGATTAACTGTACTTTCCCAGCTGAGCTACTTCACTGTTTGCAAAATAAGAACAGAAGCACACACCTTATCCACAAAAGATGCCTGCTAGGTCTCATCATCCATTCTGCTATCCTCTTTCTCAGACTTCCCATACAATGATTGCATCATAAAACAGTCCTACAAAGTTACGTCCACTAGATTATGAGTCAAACCCCATAATACTTATCTATCTCAGGATACCAGTGGCATGAACCAGACTATCTACCATCAATGCAAAGGTCAGAGCTAAAAGCCTCTCCTCCCTCCCACTGACATTTCTAGGTTGCTCTTTTCAGAAGAAGCTGCACACAGGAAAAGTAAGGTCCACCTCCCTTTCCCCAAGAGTCTACCTCCTTTCTACTCACAAATATCTGAGAGAGAAACACTACTGCACAAAACATAACTCTGTTTCTCCGATCAGGTGAAGTGGGACTCAGGTAATGAAACAGAAAAACAAAAGACATTTGGATACCATGGTGATCATGGCCAGACAAGAAAGTAAATTAGCTACCATTATGATAATGACCTGGCTTTCCAAAGGACGTAATTTGCACGTACCAACTAAGAGCAAAATAAAGAGGCTTTAACAGAATTGCTGCTTGCTGTTTAAGCCTGTAGCAATGGAACAAGCAGTCACAGCCACCAAACACCCACCCACTCCAGGCTTTTCATATTTGACTATCTCTGCAGATGCAAAGTACCTGACCAGAGCTCCCTCCAGGTGTAATGAAGCCTCACTCTGCATTTCTTCTGGTAGCACAGCAGCTTGTGCACAATCTGAATGCACCGTCTGGAAAAGAGAGGGCAAAGGACTAATTACATTGCATTTCGCAGCAACTCTACATCAAACCTGGAAATGTCTCCGACATCAGCAGCAGGGAAATAGACAAACTCAAAGGCTGTCAGAGGAGGATGAGGCTCATGGTTTTGGGCTCCTAAAGGGAAGCAACACCAGCAAGAAAGAACAAGATGAGAGGACGGGGCCTGTATGCCAGTTTAAGCTCGACATGACTGGACCAACTACAAATGCAATTTTGTTTTTTAGATTTAACTAATTCATTCCATTCTTTACTGCCCTTACCCAAGGACCTCATAGGCTCCACAAAAGGAGTTACGTAACTTGCAGGCCCCATATGCATGAGATACTGCGCTCAGATTTTGTAAAATCTGGACATAATGGAGCTTTTCAGCTTCTTTGGCCCAAATGATGAGGCTAAAGGAAATGAGATGGTCAAACAAACTGCAGGATTTTTGTCTTGACTCAGACATGCAGTTTAATTGTATAAAAAAAGAAAGATATTTATGTCAAATTTTCCAGTCTCCTTAAACAAATAATTTAAGTGTGAGCTTTGGAATGACCAAGCAATACACCTACAAGCTCTGAAATTCCCCAACATACAGCTAGTATACTTGTGATTTCTCCAAATCCTGTAGGTCTCTATAGCATCTAGTGTTCATACAAACTCTTAGGTGCACAAACATTCTTCACAAATAACATCAGAACTAAATATACAATATAATGAGTAAATTCTCTAGCATTAGCTATCATTAAGGACCAGACAGAAAATAGATACAAATTTGAACTTGTTAGATCAAGCTATTTTTAGTTATTGACATTTAGAAAAAAACAAAGACTTCAAAAAGGAAAAATCCTTTTTTCCCCAAATCCTTATTTTTCAAAAACACATTATCTCATTAATAGCAACATCTCTCTGAAAAGACACTACGCATCAGACAAACACAGAGAAATCAAATTTTAAAATTTGCATGGAAGTTGTCCAAAATGGGGTGACAAGTTCAAAATAAGACTTTAAAAAGCCTTAAGAAATACCACGCAGAAGGTACACATTATTCTTTTCAGACTCTTAGATGATCCCAAAAATACCATGATGGAGTAAAGACTTAAACTAACTTTACATGAATAAAGGTAAAACCATTTATAATAGCTGAGCATCACATTAAGTGCTGTATTTCAAACTGGACTCTCACAAATTCAACCAAGAAAAGGAAGCAGCTAGGATACAGACAGCTGTCTTCAGATCAAGAACAGCAATTGCTCTGGGGAGAGACCTGCTCTTTCTGATACTACTGGTACCAGACAATACCCAGTATCTTTCCACCTACACATTTGTTGCTTGGCTGCAAGACTAAAATTGGCCTCTACAAAAAAAAAAATATTTAAGGCACTGACCAGAGAGAATATGGCAATGGTTAAAACATTTCTTTACAATTACAATAGCTTTTTAATGCAAAATAGTTGGCAGACATATTTCAGCATTGAAACCTTGTGTTTGTATGCACTAGCATGTGGCTTTCTGGGTGAAATCAAGGCACGGAAGAAAAGGAATCAGGAGGGGCATAACAGTCTTAGTACACCTGCCTAAAAAGCCAGAGTACCAGCTACCAGCCTAAAGACTCCCAAACCGCACTGCTTCAGTTATGAAAGTACTTTAGTTACAAAGTTATCCATCCTGGTGGAGCATCTCTGTTTTTTTGGCTTTGTGCTGAGAATTCATAACACACATAATGGACAAATAATACCCTTGGTCAAAGCAACCTGGATTTATCTTTTAAATATTAATATGCCCTCCCTTGAGCAGCTTCATATTGTCACCTTTTAAATGTATTGCAGAGAAGTATGACACTATTTGTGCATTCAGAACACCCATTTTGTCTGCAATAACTGTGTCTGCTATGGGATGGTTCCAGACAGGAACAGTGAAAGGACTGCACAAACATGCCAAAACGAATGGATGCAGATGTCCACTGATGATTGCTACAGCTCATTATTTTCACTCTCATGGGGTTTCTAGATGTGACGTTACTTGTGAGCCCAAGCATTTCACGCCTTTCTTGTGAAATTTCGATGCACTACACCCATCTACAACTAATTCTGTAACTGTCATTAAAAAAAAAAACATTTCTCACAAACTCATAATTGAACTGTACAACCTTTGCAAAGGCATTGTAGTTGCAGGGTTATTTGGGCAAAATCAGAACATGCTGAAAAGTTACCTTAAAGGAAAACAGCCTATGTACCTTTATCTCTTCTACAGAATATAGTGCTGTTCAAGCCTTGGGGAAATTCAGTACTGTACAAACAGCCAGAGCAAAGCCAATGATCTGCCTAAATCCTATTTCTGCCCTCCAGGTTAAAGCAGGACAAAGCATTCTAAGGGCCTCATGGGACACATGGAGTGCTTGTGTAGCCCTGTCCTCTTCTCTCCTTTTCCCCATTGCTAAGTTGTACCTCTTGCTGCCTAGCAGGCTATTTCAGTCTTAAACCTCTCTCCCACTCTCCCCATTGCCTTCCAGGTCTCGTGTCAGTCATTCCTGGTTTTTCAAGACTGTCTTTTCAGTTTCTAGACCAAAATTCATCTTCTGGGAAGTGGGGATTCTAGCAATGACTCTGTATTATGAAACTTCTTTCAGATTGAAAAGCACTCTGTGTTTGATCAAGTAGATCAGGAAATCAGTCTGAAAGGTGGAAATTCATTTCGCTTTCAATTTTCTAGCACACAAAGCATTTCAGAAGTAGAAAAAGTTGCTGGAAGAGTTCATGAAAAGTCATCCTGCCCCCCCCCAGCCACAAAGTGTTATTTCAACCAGAAGATTGCTCTATGATGAGAATTCCATTCAAATTCAAACTTCAAATGAAAACACAATTAGTCACCCCACAGACACTTACACATAGAGATCCATAGGAAATTCTTTCATCATGTGTGTTACAATGAATTCCACCATCAAATCTGACAAAAAAAGAAAATTATAAAGTAAGTATTGAGCTAGTTATGATTAACTTCTAGTAGACAACGAGGAACTCAAACCACCCCACCTACCTACCTCTAGCAAACAATAGTCCTGCTTAGATGAGAGAAATTTCACTTTTATTGTGTGTTTGTTTTAAAGAGCACTTAAACCCTCTGGAATTTAAAAAAAATAATTACTGGAAACTGAGGGCACTTAATGTAATTTGCTTTGAGGCCCTGCTTCCCCATATGCTTTCCCTCACTATCAGTCAAATAAAGAATACATCACAAATTCTGATGCTTAGAATAGCTCTCATATTTCAAGCCTTGTCACTAATGGAAAATTCCATTGAGAAGCACATTTTAGAAAATCATTCTTACCAGAAATTAAGCACAACCTAGATGTTTACTTAAAGAGAAGACATTGTAGAGAACATCTATTTTCCCCTAAAATAAAATCTGAAGCAAGTAAACCTAGTTTGATCTCAACATAGGCTAAGCTTCTGCCTAAGACTCATTCAGGAAAAAAAAAAAAAAAAAAAAAAAAAAAAAAAGGTAGGTATAATAATAAAAAGCCCACCCGT